CCCCCTCACGTTGCTCGGAACCCAGCGGCAGAACAAAGTTGTGGTTGCCGGCATCCTTCAACGCGTTGTATGCTTGGAACATACTCGATGCCGTGAAGCCACTAAGCGATGGAGTAAAGTCAGTCCCGTTAAGAACAAATGCGGAGACTATCGATAGCACCCTCTGCAAATTGGTGAACGAAGATGGCCAAAATCGCATTGCCGATAGATCTTGGAGAAGCTTCAGGACGTCGATGCAGTTGACGTAGGTGTTACCGGTCACCCCGCTCTGTTGTCGCACGATGATACGCACGTCCCGAGTCGACGGATGCACGGCGTACGCCAGGAGAGCTGCCATCCAAACGTCGGTGTCAACCGAAACTACCTGATTCATGCAAGTAGGGGTGCGTGAATTGTATCTGAGTCTTCAAAGATACTAGCTCGATATCTCAGCCTGGAAGGGACACTGACACCATATGAGCGTACGACGCGAGAAGTTTTCCAAACGGCTAGATAAAACACCACTGACGTTCAAATTCCGAGTTGATGTTAGAACTTTCATTCTGAAGAATCCAAATACGACAAGATGATGGGTTAAAATGTGCAACCGTAACAGGACTCACCTCCACTGTCACGGGATCTTCGCTTGTAGGCACCACCACCCCACCCTCTCGTACCTCGCCCCCCTGCCCTCTGCTCTCTTTGTTGTTCTTCCCCGTCATATACGCGTGGTGGAGAGCCTGGAGCTCACCCTCCCCAATACCGTTGGCTTCGAGGAGTATTATGTCAAGCTCCTTCGTATTGTACCACGACAAATAACTCTTTGTCCGCGAGTAGTCGCTGAACAGAACAGGCTCCCCGTCGACCTCCAGCTGAAGTCGTTGGAGGCACGACTCCCCATATTCCAACCCGACGCCGTCTGATGTCTTTTTGCGGATTGTATCGTACTGGTGCCGGATGAACTTGCACAAAGCCGAAAATACACCGTCACGGTGCTGCCGGTCCTCGAGAAAAGTCTGCCACTCAGCCGCGTCCGGCGTCTTATCTCCTATCTCAAAACCCGTGGGCGCTTTCGTGAACAGAGGTTGCGGCGGAGCGCGTGGCTTCTTCTTCGAATGTAGCTTGTGGTTCTTCCTCTTAGCGCCAGCGCTTGGGCCGGCGGACTGTCCCCGTGTCACGTGTACAAAGCTCTTCGGGGTGGGTACCAACTGCCGCTTGTCGAAACAAAGAATCACCCGTCCTGAGATCTTCCCCTCTCTCGAGCACAGATGCCACAACAAATTGGACACCACATGCTCGGCATACTTATACCAAGTAGGAAGTGGCGGCCTCCTCCCGCGTGCGCTGGCTGCCACGCCCAGCGGCGATTGAGATTGGATTATCGTCGCCATGTCAACGACGCACGTGTGTGGTGTGACCAGAGATGACATGGATTTTTTCCCACTGGCGCCCTTGGCGTGCTTAATGGCGATGTCTAAGGCCTTCGACTTGAGGGTTTGTGTGGAACACCAGCCAAAGAACAAAGTTGGGCGGGGACACCGAGGGCCATTTTGCCCTTACCTTGGCAAGCGCCCCTATGGCTTTCTGGAGATCCTCGATGTGGGTCGCCGCTGCCCCCTGTGCTCGTGTTTTTGTCTTCTTCTTTTCTGTTCCAGTGCTAAACGTGGCCAACTTTACACGCTTCCGGGTAGCGTCCTTCGCCTGCCCGCCAGGGCCGAGCTCTTCTTCGAAGGTTTCTAGCGCTCCTCTCCGGAACATGTCGACCGACTTGCTGCCGGCTTCCATCATCGTGCTTTCAAGATGCGCAAGCGCCACGCGCCCATCCGCCGAAATGATTGACTGTGTCCCTTGCTCATCCCGGAGCTTGAAAGGGCTTCCCTCCGCAACGAGGGAAGCGTGGATTTTATCGATCTTCCTTCTGTGGTCACTAGCGTAGATCTTCCGGTTGTAGATGACACTACTGCCGTACATTTCCTTCACCTCCCGTGCGACCGTCGACAGTGTCTGTAGCGTGAGGGTAAGTCTCTCGAGATACCTGACGTCGGTGCCCGTTGCAGCCTGCTTGACATCCTTGTTCATGGTCATCTCCTGGATCTCGTCGAGGCCCGTATTTTTGCCGGGTTTCCCAGAGAGCGATAGGCTAAACGTCTCACTAATGAACAACCGCTCAGCGGGACTCAATCGCGCTATGTCTGCCAGGTGTCGGATGCACAACGCGTGGTATAAGTTTTTGTTGTACCCCAAGAACAGCGGGGCGATTTTGCGAATGGCGGCCTCCCGCAGATCAAAGTCGCCTGTTTGTATGCCGATGTACACAGCAAGGTATGCCATTCCATCGGAAAGTAGGAAATCCGCCCACTGCCCGAAAGTCTTGTGCTTGGTCTGGTCGTCCCGGTAGCCGGGCAAGTTGGCCAGAGGTTCTTCGTCAGAAAGTCTCATCCCTCCCGACTGGGATGTCTCCTTCACCTCGCCAATGCAACCTCGCCATAACGCCTCCAAAAATCCAACGAAAAAGTTGTGCCATTTGTGGTAGTTTTTTCCCTCCAATTTTTTGTCATAGCAGTCGGCTGCCTTCGCCAGGGGAATGAGAGCGAATCCGCCCCACTTGCGGAAAAGAACATCTAGCGTGTGCTCCAGTAGGTGCCAGTCGCCGATCCACGGTAACGCCCATGCGTATTTTCCTTGTGAAGCTTGTTGACCTTGTGCACGAGGGTGAAGTTCTCCTGGTCCCCAACAACGACCGCGCGCCGCCTCCCCTTTTCCACGCCCACGTGAAGGACATCATGCAGGCCATGCAGGTACTCCATGATTTCTTCCACCGTTTTCGTGCCAAGCAGCACCACGCCGAGATAGCGCGCAATAACGTCAGAGGGTACACACCGACCCTCCACTCCCAAAGCTTTCCCTGCCGCGCTATCGCGGATGTGCCTCTTTGCCACTCGCATCTCGAAGTATCCATCGACTTTGGTAAAATCGCCGAAAACGCACTGGAGCACCCTCGATCGGAATCCCCCCCATATTTCAACAATCCGCGGAGTAGTGCTACTGAAATCGCGGGCAAAAAGCAACTTCGGGGGGGTGTGCGTGAGTTCCGACATACGCCCTCGACTTGTCAGAACATGGTAGTAGGCGATGCCCGCCACTAGATCAACGTGGCCGCCTATTCCCCAGTGACGTAACACTTCCATGTTGACGTTGTCGAAGCTCGCGGCCACCAGCACTGACGGGAGCGGAATCAGCTTCCTCATCTCGGCTTCTGTACCGAGCACATCCGCCAACTTCGTCCGCATTTCCCACAGGTGACGGTCCGATTGCGTGATCTTAAAAATGCTTGCTAGAAATTCCAACCCATCCCTTTGGAGACCTTGTCCCTTCAGGAAAAAGCCCATCGCGTTGGCATTCTTATTCCATGTGTTAAACGCGAACGATGTCAACACCCCGGCCATGAGGCATTTCCGACTAGCCCGAGACCTCCAGAGTTCCTCTTTGACATCGCCTTCGACATCAACCTCGGCGTGCTGATAACCCAACTCGTTGAGGAAGGCCACCATCAGCGGGGGGATGTATGTTCGCCATTCTACGAGCGGGTCAATGGCCGCCAGCGGGGCTCGGCCGTGTTTCTGGTTGAAGACAGCATCCTGGCTTTCCGAGGAGTACGTCGCGATGCCTACTGTGTCAATGTCTGCAGGCTTATTGGACGCGTTTGAGCCCCTCTCGTGCGCCAAATCCCTCTTCAGCCGTCGCACCTCTGCTCGTGCCGTTTCTATGTCCGCGTGCAAGTTGCCGACCAGGGATCCTATCTGAGCCATACTGTGAATGTAGGGGTAGACCAACACCGGATTCGTTCGATTATCCTCGATGAAGGTTGCCGTGCTTCTCCCGATTGGGGTTATCTCGAAAATATTGTTCAACTCCTGTTCCACCCAACGGGATATTGTTATGCCCTCCCCTTCCCCCACAGACAATTCCATCTTCGTCCCGTCGGGATCGGCGGCGGTAATCATGTCCTTTAATATTCCCCCCAGGTCGGACATTTGCGTTGCTCTGTTCGCACCCAAGACCTCCCGAAGGAACCGCGCACGAAATGCTACTCTGGTCCGTTGCTTTGCCAAAAACGCCGAAGAAGGGCGCGCTTGGATTGTAGCGTCCAGCGCCTCTATCTGCCGTTCCTCGTGTTCGGCTGCGTGGAGGTATGACAAAGGAAGTTTTCGTGAGCCTTTGACTTCCTGCCGTCAATGCATTGGCGATTGGTGTGGTGCTTGTGGTACCAATCCATGTAGCACGCTTGGCACACTGAGGTGGAGGGCGAAAACCTTCCGATCTGCTTCCAAATCGGCTTGTTAAGCACCGCACCGAAAAACTGTTCCCAGCTCTCGTAATGCAATCCGGCCGATCGAACCTTGCGGGGGGATGATGCGCTCGCAATCTGGTTCGGGCACCTGACCGCGACAGCGGGATCGTTTGACGTGTCCGGCGCTAATTTCAAAGGACGGGGGCCAGGAGGCTGATCCGAGGAGATTCTCGCCGCGTGTCGGTTCAGATCCTTGCGCTTGATGGCGTTGTGCCGCTCCTTGAAAATGCAGCCAGTATCATCGCACAGCACGTCCGTATCCCGGACTGGGCACCGGATTAAGTCGCGACAATGTTTGAATCTTTCTCGTATGACGACGGCTGCTTCTGACTCCCCTCGAAGGTAACGCAGGAAAGGCACCTTCTTGGCAGGTGCGAGAGAACGAGCCCTCCGCTTGTCACCAATCCTCATATGACAGACGGAGCATTGTTCTGGTGGATAATATTTGCCGTCGTCCTAGCAAGCACTGCACGAGTTGAACGCGTGTACCACTTCCCCCTTGCACACGTGGCAGGTACCCGGCCCGTCTCCGCTATCGTTTGAACTGAATTCAACTCCTAGTTGAGCACTCGTACAGACAAAACGTAGCAAGGCACCATCCTTTCTGCCAATGATGAGTCCGTCCTGGGAGGAACATGTTTGAAGACGACCGAGTGGGGTACAGGGAACAAGGCTTGGAGTCTCATTCAACTTCGCAGCGGTTCCGAAACCCAACATGTGTTTTAGTGGTATTGGCCCCAGGTGGACTACAGAATTCACGGTATTACTTGGATATGGACTGAAGTATGTACCGAGGTTGTCGAACGTCAGACGGTGCCCGACGACATACGATGGCATAAGGGTCTCCATTTTGTCCTTTTCCCCCATCACAGTTCTCCCAACTGAGGTTCTAGAGTCTACTAACTGCAGTTCTAGAGTTGAATGCCAACCATTAGATTTGTGCTTCCGCCGCTGGCAAAACGTGTGCACTTGTTGGCGGGGTGCACCGTAATACCCGCTCTCCCAGATAAAGTGAGATTGGACTATCGAAAACTCACCACCCAATGGTGCGCTGAATCCGTCGCCCCGCACGTTGACGTTGACGGGGGAGGTCTGCCAACAGCCGTGCCGACTCTGGCGATGGGAGTGTCACTTCGCTTCGTATGGTACACCTACAAACATAGAAGCACACGCGCGTGGACGCACAGAATGGGGCATCAATACGTACTCTCCGACCGTTGTCGTCGATGCTCGGCATTCGCCGGAAGATACCTTGCAAGCCGAACGGTCTACCAGTGCAACGTCAACTTAACGGAGGTGTATATTTGAGTCTTACACCACGCTGCTCTACGTGAGTTCCTTGATCAGATAGGTAGAGAAGTGGCTAACTGCACATCACGTACCAGCTACTCACCGCGTTGGGAAGAGGAAGTCGGATCTTCTGCCTCGGTAGAGGTATGTCCCAATCATCGTTGCCAGCATACTGGCATATTGAGCCCTTCGCCACCTCGTCATCCCGCGCGGCAGCGGCGCTTCCCTATGCGTTGAGAAAAATGAAGTTGGGTCATGAACACCTGGGCCATCCACTGCAAGACATCGCTATCTCAATCAGTCCACCGGCTGGGGGCGGGGAAAAAACAAAAAACCCGACAAGCTCTAGACTACAGGTCTAGCACGCATCGAATCACCGGCCTACCGGGTGTAGGAAGCCTCGCCGCCATTGCAACCGTAGCTTTCGATTCCGCCGGTTCTGCGTCTGCTTCTCTCGTGCGGCTGCCTCTTTGGCCTGTACGTGGGATGATTTGTTTTACGACACCACGGGCACCCACAACATTGTGTAGACATTTTGATCAACTGAGGCGAACAGGATGTGACGTGCGAATTTGATCCGCGTACAGAGTGCTTAGGTCTGGACACGTCTGAGCAGATCTATCCACGAAACGTAAGTTCAATACAAACATATCTGGTTGTCCGCATTTTGCCGGGCAATGCCACGCCTCCGCTGCCGCCTGGATCCCCCAAGCGGATTTCGCCGGCGCCGCTGCCTTTTTCTGCCGGAAAGCTTGCACCTCCGCCATCGCCTTAAGTTCCGCTTAACCTCATGCCTATCCCGCGCCTTGCTCCTTCGCTCGACCTTCGGATGCCGCCGTTGATCCGGCTCCGTATCCGGCGGCGGTCGGCCCATGAGCAACTCTTTGTCCGCACACCATCCTGGTACCAAGCGGCGGCGGGAAGTGGATTGACGGGGAGTGGGGGGCGCAAGAAAACGCCGCCACCAACCCCAACACGACCTCCATGCACAACACCAACATCCCCACACCCACCCCAGCCGCTGAAACCAGCCGCTGACACAGCAAGGCGGACACCTCCAGAGCTCGTGCATTTTCAGCGGCGTCCCGTTCCGTCGTGTCCGTGAGCGGGACTCGTTGTTCGCCAACCTAGAACATAGAAACGTTCAATGATAAGAGGGGCGTGCGCTTATTTTGGAACGTGCGCTTATTTTGGAACGTGCCCACATGTATGTCGCACCATTCGTCTTGCGTGTATTCATCTGATGGCTACAAACCGTTACCTGTAGGGCAGCTGCATTGGCCGGGGGCAGCGAAAGCACGAAGTGGTTGAACATCGGTATCCACCGCTGAAGGTGCATCGAGCCATCCGGTCGAACATCCTGGCGTCTGGTTGTCTCCGAGAACTCGTGTATGTTGGTGGAGGTTTCGTGGTACGTCACCAGGCTCATGGAAAGGTGGATAGTCGGCTCTGCCCCCGAGGGGTTCAGGGGTCCCATCAATTCCTTGCTCCACGTTCCGCCCAAGGAGGCCCCGCCCTCACCGACGTTCATCGAACAACCTGGTCGAGTGTAGTTTCATGGCAATATCGGGGTCAGAAGGGATCGCCATTGAAACATCCCTTTTCCTCGCCCCCCTCCACGTGGAAAGCCACCAATGTGATAGAAAAAACGTGAGGGCGATAGACGTTTCACGCTCGATATGTACACGTCAACACCGGTCGGTGCCGTTGCTTCAACTCCGTCATGTTTTGTTGGTCTCAAACATCTTGCTATTCCTGTGTTTCCCCTCGTCCGGCAATTGACGCGTCCCAACAACTGTTGATTTGCTTTTTGAACGAACCACTGCTGAATCAAATTTGAAGATGTGCCGGGGGTGAGGTTAATGGAAAACTTTGGTCCGATTCGAACTAGGCTCACCAATACAATCTAACAACCACCAAAGCACCTCCATCGGTTTTATGTTAGGGCCAACATAAATATCTTTAAGGCCAACGAAAGGCAGAAACGACAGTTCTCTCGCTTCAAATACTTGTCCACCGTTCGGACCCAGGCTTGCACTCTAGCGTCTTGCTGTACAAAGGTAAAAACACAGACAATATCTAAACGCACCTGGATGGAAGCATCGCATCACCACGCCAAAAGCATGCGCCACCCATGGCAAGCACGCTTGCTGGCAGTAGCTGTCCGGTGGTGTTATGGCTTGCACCGCAAGGAGGTACACAACACGTGCCACACTCTCCGGCATTGCATGGGGGGTGAGCAACCCCAGCCGCCCGGCAGCGTCCACGACTTCCATGTCGTATGCCTGCAGTGTACTGTAGAAGTCCCCGTTTTGCGGACCGGCGATGAATTTTTCCATATCCTGCAGAGCCGTCCGAACTGCCGAGCAGCGAACTGCTAGCGATATCCCCAGGGCCTCTTTGGGGGTTGTGAATTTGGCGCCGAGGATACCCAGCTCAGCTACAGTAGGGCAACAAGCCCCATCGCCATAAATCATCACCGGCTTTCCCCTACGTCCACCGTCCAGCGGCGCCGCACCGCTTCACAGAGCCTCTGCCAAAGGATCCACAAACTCGTCAAAAGGTCCATCATAGCCCTGGAATAGTACGATCGCGCACAAATGGTGTGGGCGCCGAAAAACATCTGACATTGGCGCAGAGCCTGTCGCAAGAACGTTTCCCTCCATGCCGTACGTCTCGTCGCACGCATCTGTCGTTGTTACTCTATTAGCAATCATCTGTGGAGACCACCTTCATAAAGGTTGAAACTCCCCAACGTCTGTCGAGGACGAATCCTCTTTTCCACAATGGCGTCGACGAAGAGATATCATGTTTCTGCTTTTGGTTGCAAAAGACACGGGTTCAAAACCCGTTTCTCACCTAATTTTGTTCCGGAGTACGGAAAAAAGAAAAACGGTGGGTGGGCCAAGAAAACGATGCACTGCCGTCTATCGAACTCGAAACTTCTGGCAATGCGTGGCGGAAGTGGCGCACCCGCACACACGCACAGAAGATTGTTGGAAAAAAAGGTGGTTCTACTCGCCGCCAGCCGGTCGGGTTCCGGTTACCCCAAGAATACTTCTCTTGCCTAGCAAACAAGAAGAAGCCTCGAAAGAGCGGGGGGTAATAATGTGGAGACCACCTTCATAAAGGTTGACACTCCCCAACGTCTGTCGAGGACGAAACCCTCTTTTCCATACATCCGGTAGTATTTACTCGACGAAGCTCTCAGTAGTTAAAGTTGTCCACTGAGAAGAGAAAAGTTGGAGTGTAGTCTAGACCTCGTTCGACACAACAGCCGGGTCAGGTACCCCCCCACCCGCTTCAGGTCGGCGCTTACCGGTAGGATGGGGTCGATTTGCTCTCCGTCCAATGTTTGCACAAAGCTGGCCGCAAAGTTGACCAGGTCGGAAGCAGCCTCCGCCGACACACCGTCCCTAACTTCCCCGCAGAGTAGTTTCTTTATTTTCGTGCGGACTGTTGCGAGGAAGACCTTTACGCGAATAGCTTGCCCCTCCCCCCCGTGATTCACACTACGGCCCCCTCTCATATCGCCAACAAATGCTTGGCGCCAAATGCTTGGACCTGTCAACGTGGGTTGCCAAGTCCAGCCAGACATGTCAACCGAGCAACGAGGATGTTGTGTCATCAGGACTTTTGTCGCTGTCACGCGTGGAAGGTCTGCATGTATGCATACTACACTTCTATACAGACTAGTGACGAAAGAAATATAGTCTATGCCTTATTACACCCTACGGGAACAACCGAGGTCTTGACAATAACTTAACTCGATTTTAGGTTTTGTTTTTAAAATTCGTGAAACATAAGAATCGTGCGCGTTCATTTCAACTACTGTTGTATCTCCATGCCACCACCCTACCCAGGATCGTCGTGTTATCCACCGGGTGAGAGAATCAGGGCTGACGGGTGGGTGGTTTCTTACGACATGTAACAGACACATGTTTGCCCCACACCACCCACCACGGAAAATATTGCACTTTTCAATACTCGGTGTCACACACGCAGACCCGCAAGCACAGGTACACTTGCGGAACGGCAGCGCGACCAGCGATGGAATCGCAGCCCAAGCATCCGAGGCGCGAAAGCGTCAGCACTACGCTCGTCCGGGACACGTGTCCTTTGACGAACGCAGCTTTAAACTTACCACCTTAGCCGTGGAAAGCTTTGGCCGCCTTGGAGAGGAGGGTTACGAGTTCATCGATGAACTTGCGACACATGCCGTGGGAGGAAGGGACGGAGGAACGATGGCTCTGAAAGGAGTCTTCAAGGAACGACTTCTTCAGATCGTTTCGGTGGCTACACAGGTGGCCATATCTCGGCGAGTGCAGAGGTACAAGCTCGCATTGCGCGGGCGTCAAGACGCCGAAAACAGGCGAACAAGATCGACCTCGGACCAGTCAACGCCAATGATATGGGGATGGAGTGTAGACGCATCGTAGAACGCGTTTTCGTTTGAAGTTGGCGTCTTGTTTGAGAGTAGATGTGACAGATTTGCGTAGAATAGGGTAAGATGTTATCATGAACGGAGATGAAAGGGCTTTTCCAACACGGAGATGTAGCATGGATCAAAGCATTTGTTGGATTTCAGCTTTTACAAGCGGACATCAACGCAGTAGTATTTTAGCAAGCTTACGAACGCATATAGGATACCATCAGGATTGTCATTGGTAAGTTGAAGAGGAGATACTTTTACGATGTAAATGACAGTAGAAATAAGTCCAACATATGTTGTTGTACTTCGTATTGGTTTAATATTCATGTAGAGTATGAGACGTCAAGTGAAAGTTTTCTGAGGTACATCTGCAATTGTCGGAAGGCAAAAATAAATAAATAAATACTCGGTGAACCAGTTGTTCACGCAGGAGAATGTGAGTGACAATCATTGTAAGCCCTCATATAGCATACGCCATTTGGCGTCGCTACTGCCGACTGCACAAGTGTCCATGGCGTGTGGAGAGCCCAAGCGGGGACGGGGTGTGTGCTCGAAGTTCAAATTTTAAAATTTGTACTCTGTTGTTGCAAGGCGGACCGCTGTTGTTGCATTTGCTATGAAAGAAACGCTGACTAACCCATAGGGCAGCCAGACCTCATGTGAACACTTTCGACGGCAGCGCAACTGCTGACCTCAACAGACCAAGCGTTAGCACACGTGTTGGGCGTGTGGCGCGCGCGCCATGTGCAAGCGAGTGGCATAATTAACTGCTGCAAGGGGAATAGCAGTTCATACCTCACGACCGTTCACCAATATCTGTGATACTCATGCGTGTGGTGATATTCGACACAACCGTGATCACAGAACCCTAACAAGCCACTCACGCACCTCTGCTGCAGTCAATGGAGCGCTGGCTGGCCGTGTGACGGCGCCGTTGCGCGTTGAACATTGCAGCAGAAAAAAGGAAGAAACAGCCTGTATTCGAAATTCTGGAAGCACGCAATGGACCTAAATGCAGTTTGGTTTCCCGATGGGATGAACCAAAATTGACAGCGAATAGGTGTGTGAGCATCGCCAATAGGGTGTTTGCGGACTGGTGTTGGGAGTTCATCTTCGAAGTTGCCAGGAAGTTCGAGATGAGATCAAAATTTGATTTCGAAAACAGCTTGCGAAGATACGAGTGAAATTTTGTGGTCTTGATCATGAAGAAACTTCCAGGAACGCAATATTTTACTACGGCGGAGCCCCCTTTTCGGCTCTTTTCGGCAGCAGACTTGGTCCCGCTCGGCACAACCTACATCAGACCTTCCGCCTCCACCCCCACCGCAAGGCTACCACCACATTACACTCACAACCGCTGCTAAACAATCATGGAGAACGATGGAGGTCAACGTACTCATGAGAAGGCTGGTCCGGTTCAGTTGCCGGGTGTTCATGGTAACACGAGTCCTCCGGCGAGGGCCGCTCCCCTCGCCAGAGTTTCGGTGAACACACAGCACGAAGGCCAAGGACCTCCTCCTCCTCCTACCGCTGCCCCGCGGTTTAGTGATACGCGTCGCAGTCATCAACGGAGTCGATCGTCCGCGACAGACGCATCACCGGAGCACGGTCCACAGGACGCACGCGCAGCAGCTCCTCACGCTCCCACGCCGCTTGAAGCATCCCTAACCCCGTCACTTCCGCCTCCGCCTGTGCAGCACTCCTAAGATCTATGCCGCTCGCAGCATCGCCGTCATCCTCGTCACGCCGACTTGGTGTGTCACTCAAGAAGAGCATGTAGAACGGTATGCTGCGGTTCAAAGGGCGCAAATGCACCATATGGGCAGCATGCATTGCACCGGGTCTGGCGTGCAGTGACGACTGGCTAATAACTGTCTTGCGGTACTGTAGCTGGCTCGCCATGGTATTAGTGTGTATCACGGCCGAGGTGTGGGTGCATATAGCTAGCCTCACGGGCTGGTGCGGCATGTGTCCGGACAACGTTGGGAGTATCTCGGGAAGTATAGGCCAACCAGAAACTGTTCCCAAAAAGATAGATGTTGTTGTTGTTGTCTTCACATTAATCCGTATGTCAGTTGCTAAATTCTAAAATCTAGAGAAAGACTCTCAGCCCGTGGTCACGAAAGTGCTAGAGCCATCTGAGGATCTAAAGAACACGCACACATGTTACGAAAAAAAGGTATCCAAGAGCCTGAAGAGGTACACCTAAAAATCCCTGCAGCACCGTATGCGTGCCCAAAAACTGAACTGCACGTCCGTCCCACCGTTCGACTACAGTAGCATCACCCCCTCCCTGTCCCACTCT